TGTTTGAGCTATTGATATTTCACTTAGCATAATACCTTCAAGGTCCATCCTTGTTATTGCATATGGCAGAATTTCATTCTTTTTTATGGCTAAGTAGCACTTATTTTATGTATAAACTATTCATCTTCTTTAGCCACTCATCCGTTGATAGGCACTTAGGTTGTTTCCATATCTTGGCTATTGCAAATAATGCTGCAAATATCATAGGGGTGCATATATCATTTTGAACTAATGTTTTCGTGTTCTTTGGGTAAATACCCAGAATTGGAATAGCTGGGTCACATGGTAGTTCTAGTTTCAGTTTTTGGAGGAAACTCCCTACTGTTTTCCATAGTTGCTGGACCAATCTACTTTCTCTAAAATTTTGAATGTCAGTAGAACTTCCCAGGAACTAATTAAAACCATTGGCAGCTTAACAACCCAGAGAAGTCTCCAAGTGTTTGGGCTCCATCCTTTTTGAAGTGTGAACACCTAGAAAGTTAGAGCTCCAGGCTCCCTGACACCTTGGGAGCTTAACCTAGGCTCAATCCTGGCTGTAACCATTTCTTCTCAGAGAGATAAGAGAAGTTAGATTATTCTTTTAGGGGAGGGCAATTAACCAAACAATGGATACCTCAGTTCCCAAGTTAGCATAGATTGAACTCTATGAAGGTAGGTACAAAAAGTTCATCATATAACAGCAAACTGTGCTGTCCAGTCTACTTATGGGAAAACAGGATACAATTGATTCTAAGAAAACGTGTTATATACTGGCTAAAAATTGTGCAATGTAAAAGGATTCATATATGCTTGCATATATAAGTAACATTATTTTATTCTTTCTAGTCATTTCAATCCACCTATATGCATGTACTAGGTACTGCTTATTCAATAATATAACAAATTTCCTTCTATTTATATTGTTATGGAGAGGATTTTTTTGTTAAGACTTTTAATTCACCAATAATACACAAGAATGAATTTCCTGCCTACAGTGCACATACCTTTCCATATGACCAAAGTTATTGTCTATAGATAAATTTAGGCATGTTGGTTGTGAATAATTCCATTCATAATAGGTACAAAATTGTTCTATTTATGAAAAAAATTATAAACTAATAAAAAATCCTTGATCATTATATGTTTCAGTAGTAACAGCATTTCTAGCTCATGGTTGGGATTTTAGTTTACTATTTTTATTCTTTCTTGACTAGTGAAGTTTTAAAATGATTTTGAATTGTTTTATAGTCATAGAACACATACACAGCGGTAAATTACTTATCTTTTGAAAAACAAAAATCTTTTGTTTCAAGAAAAAATTTCTGCTAGGAGTTTGGTATTGAAATCCATCTTTCATTCATTTATTAGATGAGTATTTACGAAGCAATGACACTGTACAAAGTTGGTCACATATAGCGTTCAATGTACGCAGATGAATTATCTTAATCAGGTAGGTTACATAGGAAATGTGACCACAATGAGAGATTTTACTAGTTCTCTTGATTGGGACAGAAATCAGGGAAACCAGAGGCAATTGATGAAGTTGGAGGGTACAATCAAGGTGTTTTATTCTAGTGACCAAGTAGGAGACAAAGATTCAAGACAATAGCAGCTTGGAACTGGAAATAATTACTTTTTTCCATGTGGTAATTAACATTAAAATAGTTCAGGAATACAGGTGTGCTGCGTAGTTTTACATGCTGACTCCAATTTATACCCATAGGGTGGTTTATAGAATGTGAATTTACCAAATCTAGAATAAAACGTCTTAAGATAAGGTGATTTTTGTACAGGATGTCTTCTTTTCTGAATTAACAAAAAGAGTTTGCTAGCTGGCATAACAGTCAATAATAATAATGAAGTCAGTGTGGCTTAAAATAGAGAATTGAACAGGTCTCAACCCCCTCGTATGAACAGGACATAAGGTAGGGCAGGGGCAGTGGCTCCTGCCAAGTGTGCATGTTCCTGGGTTCGCTCCTGTTGCCCTGCTTCTCCGCACTCCAGAGAGGACCCAAACCCTGACAGAACTTCAAGCTCAGAGGACCTGCCACAGCTGCTCGTGGCATCCACCATGGACTGTGCCTTTGCTTCATACAGAAGGACTTCCCCAGGCTGCACGCTGGTTGTTTAAATGTTCTTGCCTGTGTTACACTCAATGTACACAATGAGCAGAATTTAACCTAAGCCTGAAGAGACCAAAGGAGACCACCTGACACTGTCTTGTCAGTCTTGCTTCCTTAAGAAGCTACTTCCTGTATTCTTGAAGAGAAGTCTCTTCTATTTTTTTTGCATATCTAATGAGTTCCTGTAACCCATCTGTAACACTGTAGAATCTCCTTAATAAATCTCCTTAATAAATCCATTCTGTGAGGACTGTACAATACCCAGCTAACAGGTGAGAGAGCACTTGTGACACAGGCTATGCACAAATTTGAGGAGAAGGGGAAAGGAAAGTAGAAATGTCCAGAGTAGCTCACTTCTTCCTGCTCCAAAATACTGTGTGAAAGAATGGTTGTGATGCTGCCTTCCTACAAAATTGTTGAACAAGTACTTGTATAGATCTTTGATTCCTTCAGTAATTTAACAATTATTTATTAATTATCAAGTATGGAAGATGCCTTTCACCTGAAGCCTTCTCTTGAGATGTATATAACTTTATTCCAAAAGATGCCCACTTATGACTGAACATCAAAGTAGCGAAGATTCCTTTCACTCTGCTATAACTGTCCTTTCCCTCACTCCTGATCCCTTCCTTTCTCTAAACCATGATCACTTCATGGCACCGACTTGTGTGCATGTTTCTTATTTGCATTGCTTGTCATGTGTGTTGGGGAGAGTTGATGGGGAAGCAGAACTCATTACCGACCCCTCACCCCCTTTTCCAGACCATCCAGACATTCGGTATTCAGGGCATTCCTCCACCTCAAAGGTGACACCAGAGGGCCTTTGGGGACTGGACCAGCTGCAGGACTTATTCCAGAGAAATGGCAACTGAGCATAACTCACAACCCTTAAGAAAGCAGAGCCGTCCTATAGATTCCACAGTCTGTCAGCCTGTGGGTGTCATGTTCAGTGAGAAATTGATCCTCGTACCGAAAGCTTAGCTTTCTTTCAACGGAAGCTCCTTGAACAGGTGACAATTATGGTGACAATGAGAGTTTGCCAATTACTGGCTCTTTCTTTACTCTTTTAAACAGTATCATTGTTCTGTGAGCCAAAGGTGCTGCCTTCATTGCTGGCTAAGTTTCCTGGGAGAAAAGTTTAAGTAACTCAGAGCACATGGAGTGTCCCTCTCTCAAGGAGAAGAGCAGCAGGTTCAGACAGGCATGCATGTGCTTTCTTCCCGATTCCTCTTAGTACTAGTTCCTAAAACTGTGTACTTCATCTTGAGAACCCTAGGCAGCAGTTAATAGAGGAAGGAAATGGCAATTTGGGGCCCTGATGGGTGGAAGCTCATGTATTTATTCACGTGCATTGTTTGAACACCTGGGGCTTATGTGGTGGACTTTGTGGTGGGAGGTAAATATACAGTGAGGATCATCAAGTAGATGAGATCAGGACTCGGTAGGGGAGACAAAATGTAAATAGGTCATTTCAGGTTCACAACTATATAAAAAGTCCTGTGGTCAGAGGGAAACATGGTACAATGGCAGCACAGAGGAGGGACACCACACCCAGTCTCAGGAAATCAGAGACCGTAAGGAATAACAGATGTTAGCAAATAAGGGGCACAGGGGGAGGAAGCCAGGGTGTCTAGTGAAGTCTGTGTCCTGTGTGCAATATCCCTGAATCAAGAGAATTTGTCCAATCGTGGAATTATAAGCAGTTTATTCGAAGTACAAGCGTCAAGCATTAGACAGCTGAGAAGAATTCCTAAAATGCTGAATTGAACTTGAAGAGAAATTTTCCTTTGAAATCACCATCTTTATAAACCTGAGTATTTAGGGAACATTTTAGCCAACATCCCAGGGGACGTTTTATCTGTAAATAAATTAGGGACTAGAATTTCCAGGCCTTACCAAGAGCCCCAAATGACAAGAAAATTAGGATGCACATCTTATACTTTTTGTTTCTGGCCGTAATAAGTAGATTTTTCCTGTTGAGCTGGCATGTTATTTCTAGTAGTGTTTAATACTTTCATCCTGGGACTTCCCTGGTGGCACAGTGCTTAAGAATCCACCTGCCAATGCAGGGGACACTGGTTCGAGCCCTGGTTATGTTCATGGATACCAATTTCTTTTGTATTTTCCAAAGATAGATGATAATATATGCATATACTCATTATTATTATTTTTATTTATTTATTTTTATTTTTTGGTACGCGGGCTTCTCACTGTTGTGGCTTCTCCCGTTGCGGAGCACAGGCTCCGGATGTGCAGGCTCAGCGGCCATGGCTCACGGGCCCAGCCGCTCCGCGGCATGTGGGATCTTCCCGGACTGGGGCACGAACCCATGTCCCCTGCATCAGCAGGCGGACTCTCAACCACTGCGCCACCAGGGAAGCCCCCTCATTATTTTTTTAAATTGGTAATACAACTATACACACTTTCTGCATCTTGAGATTTTCTCATGTTAGCACAAATAAGAGTTTCCCTTTCCATTTCAGTGACTGTAGAGTATTCCTTTGTAAGTGTGTCTCAGGATTTACTTCACCAGTATGTGACAGAGAGACTTGAAAGTTGTTTCCAATCTTCTGGAATTACAACAATCCTTCAACAAATATACTACTACATAAGCCATTTTTAACTTGGGTAAATAAATCTGTAAGATAAATTCCTAAATGTGGACTTCTGTATCAGCAGTATTTGCATTTAAATTTTTGGTATATATTTGCATCAGTTTGCACTCTCCCTAGCAAATATCAGAGACCGCCAACTTCCTGGAACTCTTGCTAGCTGGTGCCCTGTCCAAACTGTACTTCCTGGCCCATCTGAGAGGCGACACAGGTACCTCCTAATTTTACCTTGTACATCATTTATAATCAGTAAAATTGAACACATTTATTCTCTTGGTATATTTTCGCACATTTAAAATATTGTGTTTGTTGCTCTTTCCTCACTGATTTATAAGGGCTCCTTATAACTTAATGAATTGATCTCCATGACTGTATCATAGATTATGACTGTTCTTCCTCTTACCATTTGTTTTTTAGCTCTTCTTAACACTTTTCTATAATTAATCATTATCCTCCAACTTGTTTTCCATTTCTTTAACTTAACTAATTCTCAAAATTGTTTGTTCTTTTTGCATTTCAGGCCCTGGTAATCACTTTAGTAATTCTTTGGTAATCAGTTTTTATTTTTAAACTCCTCTTCAACAAAACTGTCATGAAAACATATTTAAAAAATGAGCTACAGTGTTACACTATTAAAACATAAGAAGCCTTTCAAGATATACTTAATAGGGATTCTCAGCCCTTTTCATAGCCTCACTGAGAAATTTCGTTCCCATACCAACTAATTTATAATGCCCAGGTAGTACTGCAACTAATGCCATGCTAGCCACATCAAGGACCTCTGAAATATTTATGGACTTATTATTTTTAGTTATTTCAATGGCTTCTTTTAGTTCTTCTATCTCTTTATTTAACTCTTCAGCTTGCTTTTTAAATCCTTCTGTAAGTAGTTCTTCTTGCATCTGTAAAAAGGAGAGTCCCTTTTGAAAATAGCCCAAATCAAGATTTTGTATCAAACAACTACAGCAGATAAGTACGTGTGTCTACTTCTATAATACCTTAGATGCTTTTTGACATTTGTCTAACATTTGCAAATGTTTGGACCTGGGTAGTGAAAGCATCCAGGGTTTAGAGCTTCCCAAGTTCCCTCAACACCATCTCCCTGGGCACAGAAAAGATGGGCCTAGGTCAGACCTGAAAACTACCCCAGGACTGTGTTCCAGCCCTAATAATGCACTTTGGGAGGGAATGTAGGTGAATTCTAAATATTTGTCAGTTTCATTGAGGTAGGATGACCACACATATGTCACAAAAATGGCACTGCTGACTGTCTTTAGGACACTGTCTATCAAACTCCAGGTTGAGGCAAAGAATGCATTTACTCTAGGTATTTAAAATGAATCAGGCAGACCTGGAAATGAATGCAGCAAATTTTAGAGCTTTCAGAATCCAGTATTTCATACCAGGCACAATCTGATACTTTCAAGAGCAGATGGAACTATTCCAGGTCTCTGATGGTTGTACCAAAATTTCTAAGGACTCTAGGACTGAGGTGCTATTCACTTGGGGGCAAATGCGAGCCTATAATCACCACAAACAGCAGTCCAGGAGCCTGGACCATGTTATTTGTATGCGCCAAACCCTAACACTACAGAAGGTGCTGAGTCTTACAGAGGTAAGTCTTCAGTGCGACCCACATCTCTTTGATGTTACAGAAAATCATATGTCTTTGGATTTCCCTCTGGGATCTGACTTAAGGTCAAATTTCTGTTCTTTTATTCCTGAGAGGCTAGCATTTTGTCCATCAGGCCCTGCCCAGGCCCATCCAGACTTACCTTCAGCTTGTGGTTCAGCATTGTTTCCAGCTCTCCTAGAAGGTATTCTTTTTCCCTAGCCATCTTCTCTTCCAGTTGGATCATGTTTTCCTTGAAGCTTCTCTCTTGTGCCGCCATTTTTTGCTCCTCTTCATTCTGTTTCTCTCTTAGCAGCTGCTGGTCCCTCTCAGCTGCATGCTTCTTAGCACACTCAACTGTTTCACAAGAGTTTTAGAGGGAAGAATATAACAGTTATGCTGAGCTGTCACCTCCTTAGCTCAGAGATAAAATGACTTTAAAATGGTGGGAAGGAATCTGAATATTCCTACTACCACATCAGAAAACATGCTTTAGCATGTGATGCAAAGGCACTGATTGGATGTACATGCAACCCAAACTCCCCTGGTTATTTCCAGATGTAGCAGAGAGGTTCCACAGAAGGAGAGGAAGCTGCCGTGTGAGGAAGTGTTTGTTTTCACACCTGCCAAAGGGAAGCACAAGAGCCACCTTTCCCTTTGTGAGCTCAGCCCTCCCCTGTACCTGCCAAGGCCTTGTCCCGATCAGTGAGGGCTTTGTCTGCCTGCAGGATGGCTTCCTCTACTCCTGCCTGGGACTGCAGGAAGCTCTGGAGGACTTCATTTGCCTGAGGACACAACAAGGAGCAAAGACTTGTCAGGCAGCAAAAGATGTAGTGTCTTGCTGAGGAAATTATTGTTCAGTAAACCTACAGATTGGACCCTTTAACTTCTCCATCCTTTGTAGGATCCCAAAATGGTTACAGACGCCAGAATTATGTGCAATTCTACAAACACCCACCCTCCATTGTGTGCAACTCCTATATCTGCACATTGTTTGGCTTCCGACTAATGCTCATCTACTCTTTCTTTATTACAATTTCATTTATGGATACTTCAACTTGTAGCTTCTATCGCCTCTTCCAGGAAGCTTTCCTAAGCTTTATTCTGAGTTTTGAATGACTGCCAAGACCTTACATTTGCCCTATCAGCCCTACCACTTGATGACTGTGTGATCTTAGGCAACTTAGTAAATTTTCCACACCTCATATTTCTCAGTTTTATAGTGGGGATGACAGCAGTACCTAATTCATTTTTTGGGGGGAACTAAATTGATTATCTTGGCAATATGGTAGAGCAGAAAGATCCTGAGCTCTCCTCCTCTCACAGGCACACTGAAGTCACAACTATTTGCAGAACAACCATTGGTGAAAAAGACAGAACCTATCAGAAAAGATCTCCTACAATTGAAGATATAAAGAAGGAACCACAGTGAGATGGGTAGGAGAGGTGGAGTCTCAATATAGTCAAATTCCATACCCCCGGGTGGGTTATTCACAATCAAGAGAATGATTACAACCTCAGAGGTTCTCCCAGAGAAGTGAGAGGTCCGAGCTCCACGCTGGGCGCCGCAGCCAGGGATCCAGCACCAGGAAGACAATCCTCCAGAGCCTTTGGCTCTGAAAGCCAATGGGGCTAACTTTCAGGCGTCCCAGAGGGCTGTGGGAAATAAAGTCTTAACCCTCAGAGGGTGTACTCTAAATCTCACATGCTCCCGGACCCAGAGAAGAAGCAGTAATTTGATAGGAGCCTGAGTCAGACCTACCTGCTGACCCTGGAGAGTCCCCTAGAGAGGCAGAAGGCAACTGCCGCTCACCCCAGAGACATAGACACTGGCAGCAGCCATTTTTGGGAGCTGCTTCTACCACATGGACATTGGTGCTGGCATTCGCCATTTTGGAATATTTCCCCTAGCTTATTAGCCCCAAGACCCAGCCCTGCCCTGGTCCAGTGGTCTGCAGGCGCCAGTGCTGGGATGCTTCAGGCTAAGCAACTAACTGGGCATGGACAGAGCCGCACCCACCAGCAGACCTCCTGAGCCCACCATCGCCTCTGGACATGGCCTTGCCCACCAGAGGGCCAGGGACCTGGTCCCACTCACCAGGCCACAGGCACTAGGCCTGAAACCCCCAGGGCCCTTTAGCCAGAGACCCTGGGACCCAGCTCTACACACCAGGAGGAAGATACCAGTTGCAATAAAACCTCAGTTTCAGTCTGCAGGGCCAGCCCACCCACTAGCAGGCTATATCCTGCCTTGGGACCAGCTGGGCTCAGGCCTGGACCAACATGAGGCCAACAGAAGCTTCAAGACACCCCAGATCCAGCAGCCCAACTGGCTGTACCCAACTGTGATCCAACACATGCTCTTGGACTCCTGGGCCCTGCAACTGGACTCCAGGATCTGGCTCTGTCCTCCAGAAAGTTGGCACTAGCCCTAGGACCTGGCCTCACCCACCAGTGCGCAGGCAACAGTCCTGGGGTCTCCTGGACACTTACTCTGCTCACCAGAAATGCAGCACTAGACCCAGAGCCCCCCGGGGTTCCACAGTCAGCCTCCTTGTGACCAGCAGCCTCTGCACAAAGCAGGACCTGGCAACCAAATGAACCAAAAAGACCCTCTGACTCCAATCCTCTGTTCTTTCCCACTCCCATTACCCCTCACCTTAACTCCTTTCCTGGGAACCAGTTTATAGTCCTGTTCAAACTTGCTCCTTGCTTCTAAGTAGAGACTGTGTCCTCCAGGGACAAAGAAAGTTCCTCCTGAAATACTTGTCATCAAGGATTCTGAAAGCTTCTTAAGCTCAGCCTGACAATGTTTGACAGAGGCCTCTTCATTTTGGATCATGAAAACGTCCTTCTTTTTCTCCATGATGTCCTGTCAGGGAAATATGGGGAAATCCAACAGAAAGAAGCTGTTAGAGGGAAGGTCCAACTGTGATCCTCTTGGAAGAAGTAGTCTGACAGCATCAGGTACATGAGACACAGAATAATAGATGTGGAGTCAGGAGTCTAGTTTTAGTTCCAGTTCTGACAAACTCTTTATGTGATTTGTACGAAGTCCCTTAAATCCCCTGGGCTCAGTCTCAACATGTGTGCAATGATGCAGTTGGCAGAGGCAAACTACTACTTTGACAGTAGTAGCACTAATAGTGATCCATCCATCAACAATGAACAATGAAAGTACAATTATGAATGGAAGTAGGGTTTCCTCTTCAAACTTGGGTGCTATGGATAAAAATATGTACCTAGCAAATCAACTTCCTACTAATGAATTAAGTGTACACTGAACAGAGTTTTGAACTCTTTCTGAATTCTTGTCTCATTGAGGATTTGAGTGTGTGAAATTATAGGAACAGAAATTTTTTTGCTTGTACTTCTAAATTACAATTGAGCTGGTTTTACTCTGTATGTACTAAGAGATCTTTGTAAATTATAGGATGGTCAAGGGAGACTGAAAGTCAAACTTTCAGTGAAGGTGCCAATGGTAAGCAGAATTATGATCTCCAAGAGCTCTCTCTGCTGGTGTCCACACTCCGCATAGTTCCTAGACTTGTGAAGATGATGAACAATTATTCTGTGTTTAGACTATATTACATGGAACAGGTTGACTTTAAGAAATGGAGATTACCTAGGTGGGCCTTACCTAATCACAAGCCCCTTAAAAGATGTTTTCTCCAGTTGGTGGCAGAAGAGGTAGTCGGAGAGATTAGAAACAAAAGAAGGAAACCATGCACCACTGCTGGGTTGCAGATGGAGGGGGGTTCCCCAGAGCGTCCATGTGAGTACCAAGCCCACTTGAACCTTGTTTTCAGCTATGGTACAGGGAGCAGAATACCCATAGACCCTGGGCTGGTATCTGACCTGAAGAACTATAAGCTAATAGATGTGTGTTGTTTCAAGCTGCTAAGCACAGTGTAATTTGTTTTGCCACAACAGAAACTAAAAGCCCAACTTTTAGAAAAGAGATGGACTGTAGCCTGTAGAGCCCTATCACTCACTAGAATCTAAACACCTTATATGATGAGAAGCACATGAACCATGGTGTCAAAAGGGGGAGTCTAGGTATCATTCCAGAAGAAAGGAATCAGGAGGGATATATTCCAGAGCGCATTACCACCAGCTTCTTCTGGAATGTCTGCTTGTCATCCTTGAAGGAGCACTCCATGAAGATTGCAATGGCTTCCGTCTCACAGGCTGCGTGCACCTCCAGAAGCTCCTGGAGCGTGTCCGTGGGGAGCCTCAGTCGCTGGGCCATCTGCTCACTGTAGTGGTCGGCTGCCTTCTGCACGGCCGCTGAGTTCTCACGCTCAGCCAGAGTTATCACTGCGTTCTCCAAACAAGGAACTCCTCCACTGTTGATGGCATCTATGTAGGCCACCACCAGAGTCCCCAACCCTGATTGAGACATGATATTTATGAAATGGAGAGAGAATTCTCACCTGTTTTAATAGCTTTAGAGATTAACGTTCTAAAAATCACTAAAATTTTATTGAATTTGAAGTTTTCTTTTCTTCTGTCTATTCTTCTCCTCATTTTCTTCATTCTTGTAGCCTCCTCCTTTTTGTTCTATGAACCCCTTCTTTATAATAACATCACTGTGTCTCCTATTCACTCTACCTTTTATGGTTCTCAAATTCATCCCATTACAATATTAGCCAGATGATTTCAAACGATATGCTCAAGGGTCTCCCAGAACACTTTTCCCATTTTTATACAATAAACCTGTAAGTAAATTACATTACTTGTGGGCACTATTTGTAAATGAAAATGCCTTGATGAAAATGTCATCAAGAATTTCAGGGCAGTGACACAAACATTAAACCAAGCAGGGCCCATCTCAGCACATTACACTGTGACTGTCCAGGTTTCATGTACGTGAAGCCAGCCCTGTACATAAGATTGTATTTACATTTGTTTCTCAGACTCTCAATGAGCTTACATGGATTCATGGACTACTATTCATTTTCCGATTCATGTAAATTCACACAATATCTTGCATATCCTCACTCGAAACACTTATCCCGTCAGACACCTCATCACCATGAAGATTTCAATCTTTAACTTTTACATCGTTAGTGTAATACTTTCATGAGATTTGGTAGCCTTACATAGGCTTCTTTTAATGAAGAAACATGCATTTACATGTGTTGCATGAACATACATCTTTCCAAGTTACACAGAGAAGAAATCACAATTGCTGACAAACCCAGAGTGCAATCACAACTTCATCACACACACTGAACCACAGAGAGACATGCTGTAGCAAAGGAGACTCACCTCCTCCTGTGACAGTGATTCTTTCTCTTAGGGTCTTGGGCTTTGCATGGGTAAAGATATATGAGCAGAAATGGTTTGATTGCTTCTGGAAATTCTCATCCAGTTGTTTATCTGGCACTTCCTCAATATGGAGTAATAATGTTTTGTCACTTGTAGGCCGGTCAAAGACAAAGCACTTTCTTTTTGGAAAAAACTTCCTGATACATTCTCTGGGCATGTTGGAATTTTGGATTTGGGGACTCCTGCCTGCAGGAGTGGAAAGAGAGCAATCACTGAAGGAACAGCTTTCAGGTGAGGGGGCTGAGGACTTTCATTTCTGTGGATCTTTGCATCACTGTAACTACTGTGCCTGTGTATCTCCTATTATTGAATCACGCAAATCAACCTTATGCTAATCTATTCAGGACATGGAAAATCCCCCGCCTCCCGCTTTATTTTTGTACAGAGCTAAGAGTGAAGGAAGTACTTCTGAGGACGAAGGGGAGGAATCCATTCCAAGTGAAGAAACTACTGATTACTTTCCTTACCCTTCCATGGCGTGCAGTGTATCAACTATTTATTAGATGTTTCTTGAATGATAGACTAATCCAAGAAATTGTCAGAAATATTTTTCTGACATTACAGTCCCCATGTCAGAAATGGCATGTAATGTAATGTAATGTCAGTAATGTAATGGTAGACATAAAGATATTTATGATATTGCTGATAAAATAACCCGTGGAAGACAAATGATACTGAGGACAGTAAAGAGAAGATTTATATATCAGAGTAAAAATGTACACATACTATGAATATGTTTGGAGATTACTTTAGCATACACCATCTCACGGTAAGGCTAGCTTAAATGAAACTAGGAGACCTCATCCAACCTCTGCATCATTTTACATTGGACGTGACTATCATACAAAGGGATTCTGGGCATATATCAGTAGTTCAACAAATATTTCTTGAAACAATGAATAAATGATTCAATTTAAAAATGAATATTGCTTCTAGGTATCACCCATTATCCTCTCTGCTAAAATAATCTGAGTAACTAATTTATTATATTAACATGACATATACGGTGTTAGGTTCTAGAATGAAGAGTGTGATACTATGAGGAAGAACATATTATGGGTCTGACAGTCTTACTGGAAGGACATGGCAATGCTTTTTTTTCTGAACTCTTTATTGTATAAATAGCCTATCTATCAATATGAAGGATGTAGCTACGTATGCTGGTAAGATACACCGTGTTAAAGGTATTTCAAAAATTAGTTCTTTTGTTTATCTTGTGATTCTGTGTTTCCAATTTGATGGGTTATATTTCTCAAATAGGAAAGGAGAAGCACTTAGACTTAATATGTAATATAAGTATGTGAGCCTTTTTTTCCCATGGTGTCCATTTTTCTAAAATCATTTGGTCTAATATTGGATTATAAATTTCCTCTGTGAGCTTAAGCTCTGGTCACTGGGGTTTTCCCAGTAACAATAACGACTGAAGCCACACCCACCAGTCATTCACCAAGCACCATTAGCATGGCCTCAATCCAACCCCAAATCAAGATTGACATCAAGTGCTGAATGTCAGAGCTCTGTTGATCCCATCTCCTACTGAACCTTCCCCCACCCTGGCCCTACTCTGATACCTGGAATCAACTTCAAGGCGTTCTCCAAGTACTCATCTTCAGTGATGGGGTATCCATCTAACTCCAGCTCCAGCATGAAATCCCGTACAGCCCAAACAAAGTCTGGAAAGAAACTCACAAACTCGGCTGAGTTCTGTACTTCATCAGAGCTGGCAGAGGCTGTTGTCCTGATTAGCTCTGTTAGTTCAGTCACGTAGCTGGGATCTTAGCTAAGGAATGAGAAGTGCCCTCCAACACAATTTCCAGATCTCAACCCCAAACAAGTTTTATCAACATTCCCTTTTGCTCCATTTTCCCTTCTCATCAGCCATGAGAAAGGAGTCATGGGAAAGAAGAAACAGTGTCAGTTGCTATTCCCATAAACTCAATGAAACATGGTGGTTCAGTTCCTGGAAGGATACTGCAGCTGCTCCAGGGCCTGGTGGTTGATGGTGTTCATGCTGTTGTAGACAAAGACGCTGCTCAGAAGCACGGCCAGGGCAAAGATCCATGAGTCATTCTTGGAGTCACCCTAGAAAGTACATTGAATCAGGGGACTGAGGACACCCCTCCTCATTCTCTCATTCAGTTGTTCATTTACTATAACAGCTGTCTTGTAACTCAATAGTAAGGCAAATAACATACATTTTCAAGACAGTGCTAAATGCAAATCTTTCTGGTGTTGACACTGACACCTCTCAGGGCCTCAGTTTCATTAGCTGTTAACAGAAGGGAGCGACGTGAAATGTGTCAACTGTTTAATACAGTGCCTGGAACACAGAAGTTATGCAGTAATAAGTGGGCCATGATTCCTTTGCACTTGTTTTCTTGATCATGGGCTATAATAGGGACTAGTGCTATTCAATTAAATTCATCATCTATTCTTTGTGCATTTAGAAAACAGCAGATACTGCATCTGCTTGTGTGGATATAGAGTTTCATATGAGAGTCCCTGCCCTAGAGAGATGGAGGGGCAGATATACCTGGGAACATTTAAATACATTCAAGATGATAAACCACCAGGCATGGAACCAAGTATTATAATGTAAAAGACAAAGGGGCAATTCCCAAAAAACAGAAAAAGTACTCTGTGCATTCAGAGCAAGAAGTGAATATGTCTGACAGTGATACGATGGTATTAAGACGAAAATAGCTGGGCTTTGAAGATTTGACAGAATGTGGATTTGTGGAGCTATAGGGATCGTGCAGGTAGAAGGACCCACCGAAGCCAATCACAATTGCCAGAAAGTGTGGTCATATAGAGGTATTATAAGGTTACTTTATTTGACTGAAGTAGTGGTTACCCATGTGGTAATAGGTGATGAGGCTGAAAATGTGATTCAGGACAAGTCATGAGTGACTTTGGAACAGATGATATATACTACCAAAATACATGTAGTAAGGACAGCACGCAGTTCCGCTCTGTCAGTTTGCAATCTGGTGTGCTTTAGTTCCCTGACAAATGCAGTTAGATAACAAGAAGAAGATTATACAAACTAAAATCTAGTAGGAATCAGTAGACCATCTTGGGCTGACACTGAGGTGATTATCGAATATTTCAAATCTGGATTTTAAAATTCACAATTTCTTGATGCATGCCCCAACCCTTGCCTGCAGTGATGAAAGCCAAAGATTCACTGCTACTACTTTAATTTAGACGCAGATTAATGTAAATAAGGAGAAAAGACTGATTGCAAGTAACACTGTGAAGACAAAATACCTACTATTATCCCATTTACATTTTTATGGTGGGTCTAGCTCATGTTTTTATAGAATTCATTGAAGGATTCATCTTCAGAGCCCCGAAACTCAGAATAAAATGTTCCTGGTATAGTGGAAGCTTTTCTGGAGATTTTAAAAATAGTTTATTCACTGAAAACATATTTTCATGATTCCTACCTCTAACCCCATATACCTTAACCTGTAGAGCCAGTGGACTCCATGGATTATAGCTTCTACCAGGATGTCTTCCTGCACCTGAACAGCTGGGGTAAGGTCTCACTTTTTTTGTCCATAGCTCCCTGTACTGATAAGACTGCATATTTCTTATGTTCCCAACTCAGCTCTGGGCCCATACCTCACTCACTGTGATAGAAAAGCCCTGGAATTCAGATGCCCAATAAATATTTGTTAACTTGTATCTTTCACCCCACTGTTAAAAATAAGGCGATCTATCCCCAATAACGAAAGTATTGATCTTATTAAGGAATAAATTCAAGGTAAGAGATTTTAGCCTCATTATTCTTAATTGGATTTGCAGTTTATAGGAGCATGTTATAAAAGTTGAATTGAGGTGGGAAATTGAGGCGTCAGTGGAGTATCAAGAGCTTACTGGACTCCCCGCCTTACCTTTTCCACATCACCCAGGCCCTCGGTGTCCAGAAGGACCAGGGTGTGGCTCTCCTTGGAGGGGTGGGGCACGCACCACATCCAGATGCCCTTAGTTTCAGACCTCACTGTGAAGCCCAGACGGAAACCTGCAAAGAAAGAAGAGAAAGCAGTACACAGTAAGAGCAGATAGTCCAGGCTGCCCAGCGGTTACTTTGGGTAAACTTGTCGGAAGGTGAGTGCCTGTCTCAGAGGAAGGTGCTTCCATTTCAACAAGGACAGAAAATCCAACCTCTGTACACATTCAGAACCTTCTCAAGAAGCACTTTGTGTCCCCTATTCACCTCCTAATATTAATGGCTCCAACTGTGTCACATTCCAGAAATAATGTTAGCTCTATTAACCTTTCTATATTTATCTGCCACTGAAGAGCTCCCTTCTCCCCCACTTTCTGATGGACTTTTGCCAGTGAGAGGTACCAGCAGGAGATCAGAAGTCAGCCTCCTGTTCCCCTGGCTTCCACCCTGGTGAGCCACAGTGTCCCAGTGTCTCTGTTCCTCTACTTTGGTCACATGTCCTTTCATTTAGCTCCAACCGGTAACTCTGGTCTCTGCCACATTCTGGAATCTACACATTGCCTCTTCACACTACAGGAGTTATAAAGGCTACCTGGCCATTGTTCCTGCCGCTCTCTGGCTACTCTGTACCTTCATTGGTTCCCTCTGGCCTGCTGGTGCCCTTGTAATTGTCCCTCCGTTAAACATCTTCAGTTATCCTTTAAATGGATTATCTGTGTCCTTTCAGGATGTGGACTGATAGATCAGTTTTTTTAGTTTCTTTTCCTCCACTTCCTCCTTGTATTTTCCTCCTTTCTGTTCTCCTCTTCAAAAAAGGATGAATTCTTTGTTCACTGACTCACGTGGTGATATAATAGAAGGGAAAGCAGAAAAGACCTGTGAGAACTGCTTGCTTTTCTTTCCAAAGGCTTAAGCCCACAGGGGAAGAGGATATGAGGTATATGCCTTGGAAGCTGCAGGTAATGGATCTCGTCCAACAGTCCAAGATTTTGACCATATGCCATGTGCCAGTGCTCCCTTCAACTGAGAATGGAAATGGATATGATGAAATACCTAGGGGAGCCTTGTTCAGCATGGCTCAGGGCCCTCGATTGCCACATCCTGTGCGTTCTGCTCAGAGAGGGTGTAAGACCTGAGATGATCTGCACTCTTCTACATCGTGATGGTATTTGACTGCTTGCTGATTAATACAGAAAAATCTGAACTTCCCCAGGTAGAAAAGACAAGGTGTAACTGGAGCTCATCAGTGCAAGTTATGTGGGGTGAAGAACAGGCAAGAAGTCATCACAAGGAGAAAGAGTAGTGACTTGGTTCTGCTAGCCGACTTTGGGTGCTAACTTTGTTTGCTTGTTTTTGTTCTTCCTGTAATATGACTGGGGTGGTGAGTCACAATTCAGGTGTTTTAAAACAAAACTAGGTTAGGTATTTCCTCAGTAAGGGAAATCACCTCCTTGTTACCTGATGTAATCTCAAGTAGAAAAACAAGAATGTTGTTGAAACTCCTTGTATGTATCTTTTTCTGAGAGTTCTCCAATCTTTAATCCCTCCAAAAATGACCCATTTATTAATTTAGGCTGTCAAGGAAAAGTGTCCTCCCTGATTGGTGATCAAGTTCCTCTCAAAGAAAGACAAACATAAAATGTTTTGTTTGAAGCCAATAAGAGATTACGAAGCAAAAAAGAGAGAGGGAGAAAGAAAGAAAAAAGAGAGATGGGGGAGAGAGAGATACAGAGACAGAGATAGTTTGAGGGAGAGAGACAATGAGATATTCCCAAGGATCCTTAGAGTTTAGTGGACTGAGGTTCTACCCACTAATTGTGCTGAGCCGCTGGGCCACAGAGGAAGGCATTAAGAAAGAAATGGTGTGTGGTCTTCTTAGAACTGCCCAACAGGACATAGGCGGATTGTCCTAAAAATCAACAAGAAACAAGTCAGGCAACTTGGTAGGAAAAAAAAACCCTTTTGAAATAGGAAATGCAAATAGCAAATATGTGACAAGGTGCTTAAGCTTATCTGTAGTGAGGCAAATAACATGCAACTACACAGACACCAGATCAGCAAAAGTTAAAAAGTGTTTTTACCAAAATTTTGGAAGGATGTGGATAATTCTAAATTACTGCTAATAAGCATATAAACTGACATAAAGCATAAACGGCTTTAAATGTTTGATAAAGCTTAAAAGGTTTAAAAAGCTTAAAAGGTTTGATATTATCTAGAAAGGCTGAAGACATAAATACTTCTTGATTCAGCAATTCCACTTCTGGGTATAACATAAGGAAGTTAGTGTACACGTGCACCAGGATATAGATGGAAGAATAATCATGAGAACACCATTTGTTGTTCATCAGCAACAAATGGATGAATAAACTGTGGTATCCTCTGTCAGTTGCAAAGTACAAACGAGTGAAAATAATTGCAGACACATAGGACAAGCTAGATGAACCTCATAAACTTCTTATTGAGAATATGAAGCAAGATCCCAATGAATATCAGAATGAAATTCCCTATATAAAGATTAAGGTATTTTTAAGAAATGTTTACATAGATTGTAAAACCATGTTTAAATAGGAAGAGCGAAAGAATGCACCATGAAAATCAAAACATTGGTGAGCTCTAGGGAGGATGTGAGAGGGTGTGATTTGTGCTTTTGGGTGCTGGTGATGTTTTATTTTTTGATCTGGGCGGTGATTGAACAGATGATCGCTTCATATTTATCAACTTGATTATATGTATATATATTTTTATGTACTCTTCCGTATGTTTTAGAGTTCACATATTACAAAAGACTAGTTAGACAAAGAGAAGGGGTATAGTTTATCAAAGTTTTGCTGTGAAATTAAGCCAAAAAGAATGCATGAGATATGGGATATAGGGATTTTACTGTCTGTTCTTCCTTCCATCCCTTTTTAAAAATAAGACATGTTGAACAATATTTGTGTGCTGCTTGGAATGACTCTGGTTTAAAGCCAAAGTGAGGAAGGAGAAAGGAAGGGAATAACGGTTGAAGATGAGCCCCTGAGCAGATGGCAATGGATCAGGACGAATGAGGTGGCTGTTTCCATGGGGTTGGGAACACTTGATTACTGGACAAAAGAGTGAACATTGTGGGGAGATGGGTTTGAAGTTATAAATTTGGTGGTGAGAATTTGAAGTTTTCTTCAGTGGGAGGGGTTAGGCTCTTTCTTAACATGACACTAGAGGAGGATGATCCACAGCCTGTGTTATCACTGCTTCCAAGCAAATGGTCCTGAACAACACTAAACGACACTCACCGTGGTTCTGCCCTGCCAGGCGGTTCATCAGGAAGGATTTTCCCGTCCGATACAGCCCTGCAATGGCCACCACCACCACAGGCTGAGAAATCTGGTCAAGAATCTTCAGTGCTTTTGGATTTACTGTCAGCTGATTGTTCTGGTTTTCCACCAGACGGATGGGGTCCATTATGGTGGATCCAGATGCCATGGGAAGCTGTAACCCAGAGGAACGACTCAGTAAAACACAAGATCCACAAGTTATCTCTCACGATGCACATCAGGCTTCTGCGTTTGGAACTTATATATCAATTTTCTATGTTTTGTATGCTTCTAAAAGGTACGTATTTAGCCTAGTGTGCCAAGATCTGTACAGATACATTATGTACATCATCTTATCGATCCTTACATGAACTCTAAAGCAACCTTATCCATGTGATGCAGTGAATAGAATGAGAGAACAAAGCATTGATGATGGAGCCATGAGAACACTAACATTTTGGGGGTACGCAGAGGCAGAATGGAACATGAAGGAGATGAGGAATGACCAGAGACAATTTCTGGAGTTCCAGAATGATTTGGTCACTCATCAATTGCACAAACATTTATTGAGAACCTACCATGTGCTGGAGATTGCTTTAGGGGCTCAGTATCAAACAGTGAACAAAATGGGTCCAAATCCCTGCTTCATGGAGATCTAATCTAGTGGAGAAGACAGATAATATAGAAAGTGGAAAAGCAAAATACATGTATGTATATTAGAGGATGGTAAATGATCAGAAGGAAATGAGAGGGAATGGTGTTTAGAGTGTTGGGGGTTGAATTCACATAGAGGTGAATCAGGGAAAAACTTGCCAACAAAGGAAAAATGAATGTGATTGGTGACCTTGATGAGGATAGATGCACTGAATCGGTGGGAACAGGCTGGAAGAGGAGTTACTGTGAGGGAAAGGAGACACAAAGAATGCAGCTCTCCCTCAAACACAACAGGACAGACCTTAAAGGTACCTAGCAAAGTTGTGCATGCAAGCATGAATTTATTAACTGAAATTACAGGACATTTCTTATTATTTAAGCTGACAGGGAAGAGAGGCAAGCAACCAGGGTGTTTTAAGGTCTGCCTACATATTTTCCGGTCTCACATCTGGGCCAGGCTCTACTTTAAATGATTTCATCACAATGATTGGGTGTTTCATGATCTCAAGAGACAGACAGCAGTCAGAGAGTTTTAACTGTCCCTTTATTTTCTCAGACAATACTAAGCAACATCCACATGTTCCCATACTTTACTAGCTGTGTGACGAATGGAAAGATTAATTTCTCTGTGCCTCAGGTTTCTCTTCTGTAAAATGGTAACCCTAAAAGTAAAATTCAGTGTGTCATTAGGGTCATTAGGAGGGTTAAATATCTCATAATGCTTACAATGCTCTTAAAATTATGCTGGTACATAGTAAGTTCTATATAAGTATTGTTTTAAAATTAAGTGTCTCTGAAGACAGGGTAATTTCTGAATGAAAGTGGAGGATTAACTTTGGCCTGAAACAGTGATACTTCCCTCCCTGGTTGCAAGCAAGTGGGAGGACACAGCCCATGAGGAAGATGAGCAGGTAGGGGAGGACCAGTGATAACAGCTGAGAAGTGATAACACGGATGGAGGGAGAGACAGGCTGGAGGAACTCAGAGCTGCCCTGGGATGTCCAAGTACAGGTTCTGAAGTCCGGCTGCCAGGGTTCAAACCGGAGGGTTTAAGTCACTTATTGTCTGTTGAGATCTTGAAAAAGGAAGTTACCTCCACAGCCTGCATTTTCTTATCAGTTTATAAGTAAAGCAACAATTCTTGCCTGATTCATTACTGTATAGCTGGTAACAGATAGGCTATCAATTATGAAAAAAGAATTTTCCTGGATTCATGTACTATTTCAATAATCAGCAATTAGACATTGCGTTATAAAGTGTCAATGAATTCTGTAAGCTGCAAATTGCCAAGAAATATAAGGTACTGTATCTAAAATCTTTTTATTAGAAAAAACATGAATTTATTTAACAGCCTTCCTCTGTACAATTTCTTTTCTTTTTCTATAGTGGATTGGGAGCAGAGATGGGGGAGTAAAACATGACCTTTTACAACTGTGTTATGTGTTAATTAATAAAGGGAAACCCGGGGAATTCCCTGGCGGTCCAGTGGTTGAGACTCCGAGCTCTCACTGAGGAGGGTGCTGGTTCCATCCCTGGTCAGGGAACTAAGATCCCACAAGCTTGGGCCGTGCCCCACCCATGCCCATCACAAGGAAACCTCACTCACATGGAGTCAGCAGGCCAGAAGGGGGAGGTCTCATGCAGAACTACTGCCTGGAGGTCAGTTACAGGAAGAATTGTCAATTACAGACCCCAGGGGAAAAATCTTCCACGGGAAGGAGTCATCAGGGACAGTCCCCTATAGGAAAAGGTGAACATTGCATCTCCTACAAGAATTGACTACCCGGCAACTCAGTCAATGAGAATCTGTCATCACCCTGAACTCTGACTTTTCTTTACAAACCAACCTTCCCAGCCCCTTCCTTTTCTCTATAAAATAATGTTCTTCTTTGTTGGACTTGCCTGTGGCTTTTTCTATAGTTTGCTTGTCCCAAGTTGCAATTCCTCTGCTATTCCCGAATAAACTCACTTTTGCTGGTAAAATAACTGTTTTATTTTTAAGCTGAATAGCTATAAGCAAGAGAAATTGTAGAGCTTATTTCTGAGATTGAATATTGATAAAGCTTTGTGTAAGTCAATGAGTCTACAAAGATTCTTTTTTAATTCAAAGTATACTGAGGTACCAAAACCAGAAGCTTTTAACTTCAAAACTAAACAAGTGGAAAAGAACAGTGCTACTAGATGGCAGAGGCAATCCACAGTTTCCAAAGGTTACTGTTCAGGAGAATTATCTAAAGTGATAGTTAACATACCCCAATCCCTGTATTTTCAACAAGTCCAGAAATTATTCTGATGCGATTAATGTTTGGGCCACACATGAAAAACAATGTATGATAAACAAACATGATTAGACCTTAACAGTTACTAATCGTTTTTTTTTTAGTGAGAGTGAGATTGAATTATTCCGTATAATACAGTTCTGTAGTATTCGGAAAATCAAATGTTAAGACAAAAATAATGCAGGGTCAGTTTAGGATTTAAATTGTCTCTACGTCAAGGACCATCTTTTCCCTGTTTCTCCAGTGCCCAGCAAGGCGCAGTCAGGATGTGTCCGAGGAGGGGAGGAGGGGCTAGAGGAAGGGACCGCACCCAGCGCCCCTGCAAGGGGCCGGGGGTTTGGGCCTTCAATTCCGAAAAGTACTTCAGCCCCCTTTCCTCAGACGATATAGCATGCACTCCTCCCTCTCCCATGCAGGGCTTTTTGCTGCAGCCCTGCGTAGATGCTCGAGGAGGAGCTGCGCACCCCGGCGACACGCCTGGCAGCCGCCCCGGATCCAAAAGGAGACGCTGAGCTGCCCAAGCAACGCGCCCGCCGGGGCGCACACCCTCCGCGCGGCGCTGGCCTCCGCGGCCTCCCCTCCTGCAGTGTGGAACCTGCGCTGGGGGATTTATTGTTGTTATTTAATGGAAATGTGCTTGGAAGGTAAAGTTTAGCAGCAAACTTACGTGCCGCGGTTGCGTCCGGGGTCAAGTTAGCTGCTCCGGCTTGCCCCTAGGGTTCCTCCTGCGTCTGGCTCCTCTGGAAACCGACTCATTTAGAAGCTGAAAAGCCAGCCGATTATAAAAAGCCTTTCTGTTATGGGTTGGGTTTATGAGAAACAAAATCGAAATCGAAAGGACATAAGGACAAGGCTTTTTTTCTTTTTCTTTCTTTAATGGAAGCAGGAACCCGAATGAAGTCGGGGAAAGACAGGGAGACAGGGATTCCTCCACACCTGGCTGGGTAAACCCAACTTTGTCCCTTCTCCACAGGTGGCTTAGGTGTCCTTGACCCCATGGTGAACGTGGCCCAAATAATGGTAGGATGAGAGAGTTCAACAGACTGTCTCTCAGGGGCGTCTTTGTGAGAGAAGAGGTTTCTTTATGAATTTTTCTTCACTTGAAAAATGTTTCATTTGTTCATTTCCTTTCTCTTTCCTTTTTAAAAAAGTGTTGTTTTTTTTTTAACCGCGGTGATTTTTTTTCCTTAGCAAGAAAATTACGTGTGTGTATAAAATCCATGATTTTATAGCCCAGACATATTCACTATTATTTTGTTACAGTTCTTCTTTTCTTTTCTTTTCCTTTCTTTTACTAGGGTGCATCCAGATTTGGGGGTTGGGGGTTGGGGGGAGGACTGTTTATAATTTGAGGGTGGATGCAAATTTGGGGGTTGAGAGTTGATTCAGATTCCTTCCATCCTGTTCTGTATCCTTTAAGGCATTGTACTTACCTACAACTTAAAAACTTGACTGCTGCTGTTAGGGAACCAGGTTCTTTTGCTCGAGGAGCTGCAAGCCAAAACACTGAGACGCTGAGGTTTGCAACGGGGAAAAATTTTATTTGTGAGGCAACCCAGTGAAGAGGCAGGAGAACAAGTCTCAGGTCTGCCTCCCAGAAGGAGAGGTGTTTGGAATACTTAGGGGACAAAGAAGCAAGGTGGTCTTAGACCTTGGGGAAAGGTGATCGGAGGTAGGGAAAAGGTGAGGTAATTGGAGTTCTGTGCAGGCTTATCTGAGTTTCATGCTTCTTCATGGGATGCCTGTGCAAATTCAGGGAGATTTGGTTTGAAATAGGTTGGAGAATTTGGGGCTGTGATGACAAAATTCACCTATGGGACAAGCAAGTATATTCTGTGCAGACTCTGATCAGCCGTATTGGTTTCACCTTGTTTCAGCCAGTTTTGTTGTATTACAAGAGGAGGGATTTTCGATCTGTTCCCTTATCTGCTGTTCTGTAAGATAAGCTCAAGAATTTGTTAGTCGCCAGTTTCTGTTACAGGTTTTTAACCCTATGGAGCAGGGTTTCACTACCACATCTGTATTTCAGACTGTAGTGAGGGGAAGGAAGGACAGGGAGAGTGTAGTCTCAAAGTTCTACGGCCAAGACTCCCCAAGAGCAAGTGCTTTGACACATATTCCATATGCAGACTTATCTAGCTTCAAAAGCAGCTAGAAAAGTATAATAATCCTTAGCCAGATTGCCCTAAGCTTATTCTGTAAAATAGAATGATACCCTATTTGAAGGTGTAAAGCATGTTATAATTCTAAAAGTATATGCAACAATATTGGGGACAGATTTTTCTAGAATCTTGAGATGAAACTTGGCAGATTCAAGACAAACCCAAGCTGGGAAAATTAGCGTGACCTCATAATTCCTGAGCCACCGAGATTGATTTAGGGGGAGATTGAGCACATGACCTAAGGCCAGATAAAGTTAATCCTTTCTCAGTTACCTGGATCCAAGAAATTTCTCTCTTTTTCTGTATCACTCTTGGTCTTCTTCTGACTCTCTTGATCTCCTGTCTTCTGTTTTCATTAACTTTTTGTTGTTGTCAATGAGGGTATAAAGACGTGTGTTTCAAGATGAAGACTGTAAGGCCACTTAGGTATGTTTGGCTCTGAAACATGATATATATTATTACTTACAAAGGGGTAGAATACATTTGGAGTCTCACTTCCAGCTTCCATGATTGTAATTGCTTCAGGAAAAATCCAATAATATTGGAAAAGGAAGAATGATTAAAATGGGTTCCTAAACTGAAGGCAGTCACTGAGACTTGATTTAACTGAAATGAAGTGTTTTTCAGTTTCTATTAATTTAACTCCAGAAAAAGTGGTCTAGCATCTTGTTTTCGAAATTGTGCTTATTTGTCACCTAGTGTACTCAGCCTTGGGTCTAGTGAAAACTCTGAGAGGAAGAGTCTCATTTTCACATCCTGCTACTCAGATGTTAGTGAAAGACCACAGCTGTGGATGGACCAGAGTTCTAAGCAGCTCAAACAAAGGCCAAGCATACAATAAACATGGAGTCAAGCAAAAAACAAAACAAACAAAAATACATACCAGTTAAAACTATGCATTATAATGAGATAAGACAAGGAACAGAACAAAAATCAGGGGTAAACCTAATGTTGGAACAATCAGACAGGGCGTTTGAAATTGCTATTATTATTATGTTGAAGGATCTAGTGGAAAGGTGAATAACACACATGAACATATGTAAAATTTTTCAAAGAATGGACACTATTAATAGAGTTAAATGGAAATGCTATAAGACTAAAGCACAGTATCAGTGATTAAGACTTATTTTAATGGAATTAATGCCTTCTCTAACTATCTCAGTCCCTCTGATTAATTTTTGTAAATGATAAGATTTAAATTTTATCTTGTTTATGAATGTAAAATTCTGGTATCCATTTTGGAAAAATACCAGAGACTTTATTTCCTATTAATATAAGTGAAATTAAAAGTAAAAGTAGAGCAAGGCTACTTTGAAATAGGACTAAAGTTCAGAGTCAGCTCCTTTTACTCTGACCAAGAAAATCCAGTTATTATCAGGGAACCAAAATTAGTTCCGGGGACAATTGAACCTCAAAATTTTTTTGTATGAAGTAACCAAATTTCCTGCTTATCTTTTTTTTATATAAATTAATTTTTATTGGAGTATAGCTGCTTTACAACATTGTGTTACTTTCTATTGTACAGCAAAATGAATTAGCCATGGGCTTCCCTGGTGGCGCAGTGGTTGAGAGTTCGCCTGCCGATGCAGGGGACACGGGTTCGTGCCCCGGTCCGGGAGGATCCCACATGCCGCGGAGTGGCTGGGCCCATGAGCCGTGGCCACTGAGCCTGCGCGTCCGGAGCCTGTAAAAAAAGAATCAGCCATACATATACCTATATCCCCTCCCTTTTGAACATCCTTCCCATTGAGTTCACCACAGTGCCTTAAGTAGAGTTCCCTGTGCTATAGGTATGTAGTCTTTTGTTATCTAATTTATACATAGTATCAATAGTGTGTATGTGTCAATCTCAATCTCCCAATTCCTCCCATCCTCCCTTTCTCCCTTGGTATCCATACATTTGTTCTCTATGTCTGTGTCATTATTTCTGCTTTGCAAACAGGATGATCTATACCATTTTTCTAGATTCCACATATATGCGTCAATACACAATATTACAATACATTGTTGTTTACTATAGGAACGATGCCGTACAGCAGATTCCTAGAATGTATTCCTCTTGCTCACCTGAAACTTTATACTCATTGATTGGTAACTTCCAATTTCCCCCTCCCTACGGTGCATGGCATCACCATTCTACTCTTTGATTATATGAATTTGAATATTTTTGATACCTCATATAAGTGAATCATGCAATCATGCAATAATCATGCAATATTTGCCTCACTGTGACTGGATTATTTCATTTGACTGGACATTTCATAATGTCCTCAAGATTCATTCACGTTGTTCCATATTGCAAAATTTTCTCCTTTTTTAAAAGACTAAATAGCATTCCATTGCATGCATATACCATCTTTATCCACTAATCTGTTTATGGCCATTTAGATATTTCCACAATTGGTTATTGTGAACAGTGCTGCAATGAACATGAGACTGCTGATACCACTTTGATGTCCTTATTTCTACTCTTTCAGGTAAATAATGAGAAGTGGGATTGCTGGATCATATGGTAGCTCTACTTTGAATTTTTTGAAGGTACACCACACTGTTTTCCATAGCGCTGAGACATTTTGTATTCCTGCCAATGGTGTGCAAGAGTTTTCTTTTCTTCACAGTCTCACCATATTTGTTGTCTTTTGTTTTTTTGATAACAGCCATTCTAACAGGTATAAGGTGATATTTCATTGTGCTTTTGATTTATATTTCCCTAATAATTTGTGATGTTGTATATGTTTTCATATACTTGTTGGCCATTTGTACATCTTTGGAGAACTGTCTACTTAAGTTCTTAGGCCATTTTTCTATTGGGTTAGTAGTTTTTTTGCTATTTAGTCTAAGAGTTCTTATATATTTTGGAGGTTAACCCCTTATCGGTATATTGTTTGGAAATACTTTCTACTATTCTATAGGCTGCCTTTTCACTCTGTTGATTATTTTCTTTACTGTACAGAAGCTTTTTAGTTTGATGTAGTCCCAATTATTTATTTTTGTTTTTGTTGCCTATGATTTTGGTGTCATAGCTATGAAATCTTGCCAAAACCAATGTTGTGAAACTTTATGTTTTGTTTTAGGAGTTTAACAATTACAGGTCTCCCATTTAAATCTTTATTTCACGTTGAATTGATTTTTGTTTATGGTGTAAGAAAAGGGTCCAAATTCATTCTTTTAAATGTGGTTCTCTATGATCTCCAACATCATTTGTGGAAGAGATTATCATTTTCCCATTGTGTATTATTGGCAACCTTGTCAAAGATCACTTGATTGTATATGTGTAGATTTATTTCTGGGCTTTCTATTTTGTTCCATCGGTCTACATGTTCTCTTCATGCCAGTCCCATACTGTTGTGAATAGTGTAGCTTTGTAATATGTTCTGAAATCAGGAAATGTGATGCATCCAGCTTCGTTCTTCTTTCTTAGGATTGCTGCGGCTATTTGAGGTCTTTTGTGGTTGTATATGAATTGTAGAATTGCTTTTTCTATTTTTGTAAAAAATACTATCAGAATTTTGATAGAGATGACATTGAATCTGTAGATCAGTTTGTTTTGTAAGAATATTTTAACAATATTAATTTTTCCAATCCTTGAACATAGGATGTTTTTGCATTTGTGTCTTTTTTACTTTCTTTTATCAATATTTTGTAGGTTCCAGTATTCAAGTCTTTCACCTCTTTGGTTAACTGTATTCTTTTTGATGCTAGTATAAGTGGGATTGTTTTTTTAATTTCATTTTCAGGTAATTTATTGTTAGTGCATGGAAATGCAACTGATTTTTTTTTTTTTTTTTTTGCAGTACGTGGGCTTCTCACCACTGTGGCCTCTCCCGTTGCGGAGCACAGGCTCCGGACGCACAGGCTCAGTGGCCATGGCTCACGGGCCCAGCCGCTCCGCGGCATGTGGGATCTTCCTGGACCAGGACACGAACCCGTGTCCCCTGCATCGGCAGGTGGACTCTCAACCACTGCGCCACCAGGGAAGCCCCACAGCAGATTTTTGATCATGGAATTTAGTACAAGTCTCCAAAATTTGGTGGCAGAGGTAACAGAAATAAGCTGAGAAGATCAAGCCTGCACTGGTTGATACTGTATTACTGCGTAGACATCCTGACTCAGCATAGACTTGGAGTAAGGCCTGGAGAACAGGAAGGTACTGGCAGCCTAGGTATTTAATTATGTGGTTAATTGTGTAGACGGTCATGAAGTCTTCCTACTCATTAGGACGCTTCCAGACATAAAGTTATATCTCTGAAATGACAATTTCCTCTTTTGAAAAATGACAATATAATGGTACCCGTAACATAACGTACGGATTTGCTCACAGAATATCTGTAAAGCCACTGTTCAGTGCCTGGCAATGAATAGCTATGGTTTATTAGTGATTTAATTCTATGAGATTTTATCCTGCAAGTAGATAGCCTTTAGTAACCAGAGATGGTCAGGGGTAGAAGCAATAAGAGAATGAAATGTCTACTAGTGTTCGGGCTAGAAAAGTCCTTCAACTGACCTAATGCTCTAAATTCTAAGCAGTGCTTTTTATTCAGCACAATGGTAGAAAGAATGGAGATGACACAATTGAATACCTGAAGTTTAGGGCTAGAACCCTCTCCTGCTCTGCCATTAACTGGGCCCTCTCCTTTTCCATCTTCTCAGTCAGTTCTTTCACATGTTCCTGATAACCGTTTTCTCTCTCTTGCATCACCTGGTCATTCTTCTTTTGCATTTCCTCCAACATTTTGTTTGCAGCTTCTGCAGATTTAGACTTTATACATTCCACGTAAGAAGAAAAATAAGCGGAGAAATATGAGGATCTTAATTTATTGTTAGAGCTTTATTTTCACACTTTTTGCTTGTTTGTTTGCTTATTTCATGAAGAAAACTTCTTGTTATTTTTGCACTGAGGAATCAGAGGACAGATTGACATAAATATTAGTTAAGAAAAGAATCCCCTAAAACTATGAACTATACTTGCTATTTTTTGCTCTATAGTAATATTCCAGGTGGACTAATGTGGCTAACATTAACATTTCTAGCGCTTTCCAACTATGTAGAGGGTTTTCAGTTATTCTCACCTTCAATCTCTTTTTCTTTTTCCGTAAGTGACTGATCAGTATGTTGAAGTGCATCAGCCACATCTTCCTTGGAATCCAAATATTTCTTCAGTGTCTCTTCTGCTTATTGATGCAGAAGAAGTTAGAATTAGGAAATAGAGACTATGGGTTAAAGTAAAACCTAGCAGTACATCTCTTAATTCAACTTCATTTTACCACCCATTTTAAAATTTAAATACCTTTTCAAACTAAGCTTTCTTAAAACCCAACTCCGGATCCACCTTCAAACTTGCTTCATTCTCAGTCACCCCAATTTTAGTAATTTAATTAGTAAATCTTGTCTTCTAATTGTGTGAGTTAAAAACCTTATGGTTATCCTTTATGTCTTTTTTTTTCCCCCTCACAAATCCCAGGTACCATTATCAGTTAATGATGTTTGCTCTGACTTCAAAATAAAACTAACCAGGGCCCGTCAATTGTCACCTGCTCCTCCCAAACACCCTGGTCCAAGACATCATCACTTCTTGCCTGGACCACGGCATTAGCTTCATAACTGGTCTCCCTGCTTCCTTCCACTCTTGCTCCCCTATAGCCTGTTTTCCTCAAGGCAGCTAGTGTTGTGTTATATTACTTTAAGAAAGATCACTTCAATTTGATGCACCAAATCCTCTGCTGATTTTCCAACTCCTTCCAAGTAAAATTGAAACTTCTCTCAGTGGCCTCCAGGATACTACTTTGTTTAGCCTCTGGCCCCTGAGCATCTCTCTGACCTCACCTCCTGCCACCTCTTCCTTTGCTCACTGCCTTCTTAATGCTTTTCCTGCCATTCCTAGAACATCAACCAATTTATCCTTCTGGATGTTTCTGTTGTTTGAAATTTTCATCCTCTAGATGCCCACTTGGCTCACTCCCTGACTCCTTTGAAGATTCTGCTGAAACAGTACCCCACGATAGAGGCCTTCTCTAAAAACCTACATATAAAATAGTACCACATATCCTTCCTCTCCCATGCCTGTAGTCTACTTTGTGTTTCTTCAGGGCACTTTTTTCACTGTGATAGTAATTTCTCAAGTCACTGTAGTATTACTCTCTCCTTTGCCTTAGTAACAGGATGCTTAATTTTTTCCACCAGGGCACATTGTGGGCCTTGATAAAATGTTGCACTTTCTAGTCAACCTCCCGGTAGCTGAGGTGACCATATGATTAAAATATAGCTACTAATACCACTTATGTGGAATGTTATATAGTACTTTTTGCAGATCGCCTTAAAGAGAGTTGACCCAGAGACTTTTAACTCTTCTGTTTTTCCCTTTTCTTTCCATCTGTAATATGCAAGTAGTGGGTGAAATTCCAGTAGCCATCCTAGACCGTAAGTTGACCTTGAAGATGTAGGCTGGGTGCTAAGGTGCTGGAGCAGAGCAAAGAAGTGGCCTGGGAACAGGGTGATTGTGGAGTTGTCATAGCAGCATGGACTCCCTCTGCCATACTTCTTGTATATAAGACAGAAAATTTTTTCCTTTTTAAGCCACTCTTGTCTTGTTTTATTTTATTTTTAAATAATATGTACCCAAACCTAATTCTAACTGATATAACCTGAGTATACCAGCACAGAAGTATAGTTAAGAGCAGAGAGTCTGCTACAAGGATTTCTATTCCAGCTGTACCACTTATTACCTGTACATCTTAGGTGAGTTATTTTACTTCCCTGTGCCTCAATTTTCTTATTTATAAAATGAGGACATTAATAACATGTACTTCATAGGGGTGTTGTGAGGATTGAATGAGTTAAGCCCATTTGTTTCCTGAAACAAAATAAGGTCTATATGTGTTAACGCTTATTATTATTAGTTTTTTCTGTAAGCTATAATTTGTTGATTGCTAATACTTTGAAAGAACTTGTTTTCTTTTAATTGCACTAACCACAGAAATTTGACAAGGTCTAGCATATAGTTAGGACTAAGTAGATAATTGTTGGATGATTGAATGACTAAATTATTGAAGAAATTCTACAAACATTTTGGGGGGCTCCATCTGTGCTTCCAAGAAAGAATCTGTTATTCATCCCATGGTAGTCTCTCCTATTGGATAAATCAGTGAATGGATCAATGAAAAGCACAGGCACTGTTTACCAATCACATTTTGGTTGATTCCACTGTAGTTTGAAAGTGTCACCTCAGCAAGTCCCCAGAAATGGTACTCAGTAGGTAGTTTACCTGTATCCCCTTTCTGGGGGACTGGTAGTACTTATTCTTTAGCTCCTGCTTCTTCCAAATAGAGATGATAACCTCCTGGTTTAGAAAATATTCCTTGCTTCACATCTTCATATACAGGGCCAAAAATATCCTGAATTAAAGCCATGCAATAAACTGAGGATGCTTTCATGTTCTGCTTACAAAAGTCATCTCACTTTGCTTCTAACCCTTCCTGTGAAGTGAAAAAATAGTACAGAAGGTACAGTAAGCCATTATGAGGTTGTTAACCACACACAGATTACTGGAAATGCTGCTTCTGCAGAGAATGTGGCATATAAACATTACACACCTCTCACCATGCTGGGAGATTCTAGAATACCCCTAAATAGAGCGCTGGTTTAAAAAAATACATCTACTTCTCTTTGTGATTATCTGAAGCTTTTTCCCCATGCTTTTTTAGCTTCAGAGAATGATTCTCAAAGCATAGACGCTGTTCCATATAGAAACTTCTCTTTTCAAGTCCCTAATTTAGGAATAGTTTACCACACAAATGTTCAGTAAGACAGGCTTGCAGGGAGTTCCTGGTTCCACCACTTCGTGACTTAGTGACATTCAACTTTCATGAAATGAGGTTTCCTTTTTGTAAAACACACGAAATTTTATCTATGTCATAGATTCCACGTCAGGATTATATGCAGTGGTGCAAAGTATTAAACCAGTGACTTTTTCATGAGTGCTCAAAAGGGTCAGTGATTAGTGGTACATTCTTTAAAATGATAATACTTTTGCATATTTTCTCAATACAAGACTAACGAAGGTAATGGAGATTGTACTGCAGGTATTTTCGGTATGGAGAAAGCCTAACAAACAGCATTTTTACCTACATCAAATTATTGAAGAGAACTTGTATATCAGGTGTTTCTTTAGTCTAGAAAGATGTCCATTGTCTGCTGACCTTCACTATTTAGTTTCATCAGAACCCCTGAAAGCAGGAAGGTGTAATTTGAAAACTTCTGCCCTTCAAGCCAGAGAAGGGATTGTCGTCGGTCAAGTGATTATTTGTCATACAACAATCCTTCCTTAATTTGAAAGGACTCAGACTTGAGTCCTCAAATAGCATTCTTATAATTGATATCTCTTCCCTGTCTTTCTGAATATTTTACTGTTGCTTTACATTAAACACAATACGTTTTTAGGGTTTTCACAAAGAAGTGAATCCTCCTGGATAATTAGCAGGGAACATGAAAGAACTGTGTCTTTACTAACTTTAAATGAAAAAATAAATTGAAATAATCTTATGTAAATATAATTTTACAGTTTACTTTTTGCTTAAAATATGGCATCCATAGGGTGGAAATTAACAGAAGAGGATATCTGTAATAACCATAGTTGGTCATGGTACCATAGTCTCTAGGACTAAGTCTAAAGGAAGTCTATTCTTTCAGTAAAGATTGCAAATGAGTACACATAACGGAGGTCTGCTGTCTTTGGGAGGACTACTCATATCAAGAAAGGCCCAGATTTTTCTGCCTCTCATTAACCAGAATAGCAAATATACCCCTAATTTTTTCTGGAACACTCGGTCCACATCCTTGAAAGAGTTCTTCAAGACTTCAGTGACCTCTTTCTCACTGGCCCTGTGCAGGTCCAGCAGCTCCTGGAGGGTTTCCGTGGGCAGCTGCACCCTCTGGCCCATCCATGGGTCATAGTGGGCAATGGCCATTTGCACTGCGGCCAAGTTCTTAATCTGGGCCAAGGCCAAGACTGCATTCTCCATGCAGGGCAGATCCCCACTACTGATGGCATTGATGTAGGTCAGCACCAGGCTCTCTAGACCTACAAAAGAGAATTTTAAAAAATAGTGACTATTAGTTGGTGAGACAGAGAGGAACAACTGTATTCCGTTTAGTCCTGAGCATATAAATTTTATTATTTTGTATCAACGGCTAGAGTATTTTTTTTTATGTTTTTCAAGTGTCACAAACAATAGTTTTAAGGATTTTTTGAGAAGAATAGTGATGGAATATTTTGTTAACCTCTAGTTTCAGAGGAGTTTAAAGCTTCCCTTTCCTCCTCCTTCCCTCACCCAAATGGAAGATGTTGGAATGAATGGGTTAGAGTAAGGATATTTTGGGGACAAGATAGTAAGTCTTGATCTTTTCTTAGCCTTACTGTATCTCCCTTTTATATACTGTACTGTATCTCCCTTCTAATATATAAAAAAGGTCAGGGAGACGATTTAGCATACACAAGCATTTGTGTGTGTGAGTGTAGGGGTACACGTGGTACCTGCCGCTAGTCCTGGGTCTGGCCTAAATAAGAGGATCTTTCTAGATAGTCTCTCATCCAAGCTCCATGCAGTGTGATCAGTTCATCCACATTTGCTAGGGATTTATGGTTTTAGCATTGAAAATCTCATATACCAGGAAATGCCAGCCTCGGGCAAACTGGAGTTGTTGATCACCCTACAACTACCAGTTTTTGGCTACAATAATGTATCACCTCACACTGATCAGAATGGCCATCATCAAAAAGTCTACAAATAATAAATGTTGGAGATGGTGTGGAGAAAAGGGGATCCTCCTACACTGTTGGTGGGAATGTAAATTGGTGCAGCCACTATGGAGAACAGTATGGAGGTTCCTTAAAAAACTAAAAATAGAGTTATTTTATGATCCTGCAATACTACTTCTGGGTGTATATCCAGAGAAAACTGGAATTCAAAAAGATACATGCACCCCAATATTCATAGTAGCACTATTTACAATAGCCAAGACATGGAAGCAACCTAAATGTCCATTAACAGATGAATGGATAAAGCAGATACGGTACATATATACAATGAAATATTACTCAGCAATGCAAATGAAATAATGCCATTTGCAGCAACATGGATGGACCGAGAGGTTATCATATTAAGTGAGGTAAGTCAGACAGAGAAGGACAAATGTCATATGATATCACTTATATGATGAATCTTAAAAAATGATACAAATGAACTTATTTACAAAACAGAAATAGACTCACAGACAGAGAAAACAAACTTATGGTTACCAAAGGGGAAGGGAGAGGAGGAATAAATTAGGAATTTGGGATAAACAGATACACAGTACTACATTTAAAGTTGATAAAAAACAAGGACCTACTGTACAGCACAGGGAACTGTATTCAATGTCTTATGATAACTTATAATGGAAAAGAATCTGAAAAAGTATACATATATATATATATATATATATATATATATATATATATATATATAACTGAATCACTGCTGTACACCTGAAACATTGTAAATCAACTGTTCTTCAATTAAAAAAAGACAACTAGCAATTTTGGGGCACTCAATCCTGGGCCTTCTCTTTCTATAGTTTTAAGTAGTGCCATCTATGTTTTAACTTCCTGCTTTGAGTTGATTTTTAAGCTTTCGATTTGTATATTGAAATATCTGGATGATACTCCTTCTTGTATACATCAGAGAAAAATCAATACTAAATGATCCAAATCTAAACAACTTCACCAACTCTGGAAAACTATTCTTCCTCCAAGTATTTCTTTTAGTAAATGACATCTGTTCAAGCAGTTGCTTAAGCTCAGAACGCTGGAGTCGGACTTGACACTTCCTTATCATTCCTTCCACACACCACGCCCATATGCCCTCCATCATCAAGGTTTATGGATTTGACATTCAAAATATGTGTGGATTCTGTCCATGTTGACAATCTCAATTGCCACTATCTTAGCCTAGCATAATCCCTATTTATTATTAAAATATTGCAGTATCATTCATCTTCTCATTGCTTCATGTACATCCCTCCAACATGGTATCTACAAAATACTCAGAAGGATTTTTTTAAGTATAAACATAACCAGTCCTTTTAGGTATGGTTCCCTGAATACTTCTCCAACCATGACGCCACTCTTATTCACTCTACTCTTGTTCAAATCGCACTTTCTTTTACATTCTTGAAGTCGCAGAGATCTTTACTGTCTTCGAACTTCTCACGTGGTATTACCTCTGTCTGCAAAGCTATTCGAACTGTTCTTCTAATTAACTCCTACTCATTTTCAAGTTCTCATTTTACATGTCACTTTCAGAGACAAATATTCTCTGTCTTCGAATCCAAAGCAGCTATCATTTTAATTTATTGTGCTTATCATTGTTTATCATTAGAGTTAAATAAATTGTTTTAGTACCTTTTGATCCCACCGTGCTAGAATGAAGATAGAGCTAAAATATTTTAATCCACCATTACGCCCAGTGGTTGGTGCATTGCAGGCACTCCTAATCAATTCACATATTTTTTGCATTGATAAACAAGAGAATTGTGTTAAGGTTAGTGGCAAAGCTTTGCAAACATGGAGTATTTGCCTTTTCCTGACTTTGTCAATCATACAACTTTCCTGGAAGGAAATTTCATAAATAAGGAGAGAAGTTGGTGGAGAAGGTTACTACACCAGGATTAGATTCTAGTTTGTTTCCTTTATTTACCTTGCTCATGTGAATATTAGATAACACCAGAAATACTTTTAGTTCCCATATAAAATTCACAAAGTGACACTTGTGGTGTGTTTTCCTTGGCATCATTAGACTCTGTATTTGTCAGAAGTAACCCTCATGGTTCCCACTTCTATTGTCTACAGTGGGCAATAGGAAAGTCCAAGTATGGGCAGTGAGAGGGACTCATGAGGCCCATTGACTGTGATGCCCCCTGAGAGAGTCTTGGCCTTGGAATGGCTGAGGATGTAGAAGCAGAAGTCTTCAAATTGTTCTCTGAATTCAGGGTTCAGATCTTCCTCCTGTAGCTGCTCCTGGCGGGTGAGGTACTTCCTCTGAGAAGGGTGGTCAAAGATGAAGCACTTGTTCTCTGGGAAGAACTTTCGGATACATAACCAAGGTTCATTAAAGCTTTTAGTTTTTTTATCAGTACCTGGAGGAATGAAAATTTGAGGTAGTACAATTTCAAGCTGATTGCTTCAAATATATGACCCTTCAACTTAGTAATTTGCACAAATCCTATATTAAGAGGTAAATATTAACCAATCATGGATCAGACCAAAAAAATTAAAGGGATAGAGAAATGAAATTTCTTTTCCTCTCCAAGAAGGAGGTAACTTAAAATTAGACCCAACTGATTCATCTAAAGAATGTTTCATTTCCTCTAACAGAACAGCCAGGATAACAAAGTTACGAAATTATAATTTTCAGCACCTACATAGAAATGGTCATTGTGATATTGTTTTCTCTTTTTTTTGTTAGCCAACCATCAGGCCCAGTAACCTTGCTTTAGCTGCAGTGAAAGCTTCCGGTACTCATCAGCAGTGATGGGTTGCCCATTTGCTTCCAGCTCCAGGGAGAAATCTCTCAGAGCCCACACCAAGTCTGGAAAGAAGCTCACAAAGTCAGCTGAGTCTTTGGCCTCACGTTTACCAGGTGAGGATTTTGCCCTGATTCAATCTGTCAATTCTGTCACATAGCTGAGATGATAACATAGGAAAACTGCAGAAAAGGAGTAGCACCTTTTATGCTGTATTTTCTCCCAAAGCTTATCTAAAATAATTTTTCTTAATCAGTTTATTCATTCATTCCACAATTTATTGAGCAACTGCTATGAACCAGGCACTGTCTTAGAACCAATAACATTGCAATGAGTGGGACAATTCTACCGTACACATTCTAGTGAGGGAGATAGATGATAAATGAATAAACAAAAATGTAATAAAATCTGAGTCTTGTTAATAATTGTCTTGAAGGAAAATGAACCCAAGCTAAAGGTTAGAGAATAACTGTGTATGTCTGCATGTTGTACTGGTTTATGTAGTGGTTCAGGTAAATTCATCCTGAGATGATCATTGAGCAGAGATCTGAATGAACTGAGGGAGCCAGCCATGCACTAACTCATTGGAGGAATATTCCTGGCAGAGGAAATAGCTCCTACAAACGCTCAGATAGGAAATCACTGAGTGTGTCAAACATATAGCAGGGAGACCAGCATGGCTAGGGCAGAAGTCCTAGAACGGATAGGGTCCAGACTATGTCAGCCCTGTAAGCCATAGAGAGTGTTTGAATTTTAATCTAAATTTAATGGGAAGCTATTGAGAAGCTTTGAGCTGAGAGGGGATATGACCTGATGTTTGTTTTTAAAAGATCATTCTGGCTGATGTTGTATCTGTAAGAGACAAGAGTATAAGCAGAAGCATTAGGCAGTTAAGAGGTAACCCAGAGGAGAGAAGATGGAAGTTTAGACTGGAGTTATCACTGAGGAAGTGGTGGAAATTAGCCAGCCTGGGAAAATACCTATGACAGTGGAGCTGACAGGACTTGTGACTAATAGTTTGCAGGTTATAAAGAAAGGAATCATCCAAGATGAATCCTAAGTTTTTTGGGGTTTTTTTGTTTGTTTGTGGTACGCGGGCCTCTCACTGTTGTGATCTCTCCCGCTGCGGAGCACAGGCTCCGGACGCGCAGGCTCAGCAGCCGTGGCTCACGGGTCCAGCCGCTCCGCGGCATGTGGGATCCTCCCGGACCGGGGCACGAACCCGTGTCCCCTGAATTGGCAGGCAGACTCCCAACCACTGCGCCACCAGGGAAGCCCGAATCCTAAGTCTCTGATCCAAAACTGTGATGGTGAAGGAGTGCTTTTGGTCAAAAAAATTAAGAGTTCTGTTTTTTGACACACTAAGTTTCAGTTGTTTCTTATACATCTAAATGGAGACTTGTAACTAGATACACAATTTTGTGCCTGAGAGCAGTGGTCATGATTACTTATACAAATGTTATGGTGATTGACATAAAGGTGTTAGTGGACTCCTTGAGGCTAGAAGAGATGGCCTAGGGACTGAGAAAAGAATAGAAACCCAAGAATCAGAGAGCTATAATACTTAGAAGCCAATAAGAGAAAGAAGATGCAACAAAGTAAGCAGAAAAGATATAGCCAATAAGGAAAGTGGAATATTAGGTAACTGTGGTGTTTTAGACACCAAAAGAACCAAGTGTTTCAGAAAAGAAAAAGCCATCAACTTTATCGAACGCTCCTGAGAGGTCAGTGAGTATGAGAGCCAACCATTAGATAGAGGACCATGAAGGTAACCTTGACAAAAGCTAATTTAGGACAATGCTTGAAACTCAGTTTATGGAAATGTTGGAGTTGTTGATAATGACCAGAGCTAAGAATGCAGGAGAGTGGAGGATTAAGATGAGGAGGTGAGGGAACTGAGAGACCAGAGTGTTAGACGAATGTCTGTTGGGTGTTTTTTTTTTTTTTTTTTTTTTTGCGGTACGTGGGCCTCTCACTGTTGTGGCCTCTCCCGTTGCGGAGCACAGGCTCTGGACACGCAGGCTCAGTGGCCATGGCTCACGGACCCAGCTGCTCCGCGGCATGCGGGATCTTCCCGGACCGGGGCACGAACCCATGTCCCCTGCATCGGCAGGCGGACTCTCAACCACTGCGCCATCAGGGAAGTCCTGTCTGTTGGTTTTTAAAGTCTCTAAGAATACAGTGAACTAGGAGCTAGAATATTTAACAGATGAAAGTTTGTTTACAGGGAAGTGGGTAGATGACTTCGCCAAAGGATAGTGTAGTCTCAGTACATGTGCTTCGGAGGAGTTTCTCTTTTTAATGGGAGAATGAGAAAGTCTCTGGAAGCTGTGATAAAGAACAAGGAGGTTACCTAAGTTTTCTGGGACCTATGACATGCAAGGTGTGGGAGAAAAAAATCACCACTTAAGACCACTTGCGAAGTCTGTGGGGGAAATACTGTCCAGAGAGTATAGATAGAACTCAGTCAGAAGGAACTATTTAGAGATGATGATAAGGATCTAAAGATTTGCTGAATGAGACATGAGTTCTAGAGGATGCTGAGGGTTTGGCAATGGAGATTTGTAGGGAGAGGTCATCAAACATGACTGCAGTTTTGACCCCTGGGCTGGACCCAGGCAGCTCACCCTCTCCCCTATCCTTGGAATGTGTACTCCGCTTGCCTTCCCCATGCTGGAAGTTGCACAAGGACACAGCCTTGAGATAGTAAGGGGTGCTGAGACCGTCTGGACTGTGTACTGACTGAGCCCAGGTAAGGTCTCTATAGAGACTTTTAAAATTTGGTGGGTGGGTGTGGAAATCTATTTGTCTTCCAGCCACCTAAGACAAGACTTCTAAGTAAATTCCCTTGCTTATTAAACCTGCCACCTGCCAGTCTGATCTGCCATTTTCTTTGGTCTCTCCCTGCCCTCTGGGTACTAAGGTCAGTTTCAGATTACACCCAGGAAGCTCCTGAGGAGATTGTGACCCAACAGGATTAAGTCAGATAGGGCTTGTACAGAGCCTTGTGCAGCTAAGTGTCTAAGGATAATGTGTGACCAGAAAGGCTTGGGCTTCTGGCGGTGATTGAGGTAGACTGGGATGGTGAGCATAATGGGATTCATTAAAGAGGGGACTCCGAAATTCTTCTGCAGTTGCCCACAAATGTAACTGGTGACAAAATAAAGCTGTTCTTTCCTAGATTTCATGTTGTCTGGACCACAAAATGGATTCTGCAGCTGGTCCATGGCCTGCTGGTTGATGGTTCCCATGCTGTTGTATAAAAAGGTGCTGCTCAGGAGAATGGCCAGGGCAAAAATTCAGGAGTCATTCTGGTTGTCTCCCTAGAAGTCATTGTAGAAACCACATAGAGTGACTTAGAGCACATGATTTCAATTCAGATGGACAGAGACTGATCCCAGATGTCTCTATTTAACTCCGGAAACTTAGGTTAGTCATTTCCCTATGCAAATTTTTATCCATCTGTACATGAATTTATATAAAAACATTAAATTCATGGTGTAGTGAAATTTAAATTAGGCATTGTACATAACTGCGTATGAGAGTGTAAAGCAAATAAGCACTTGATAGTGGTGGCTATTATGATCATGTAATAGAATTCAAACCTATCTCCTGAATTGAGACTGTGATCCTATTTCTGTTCTCATGACATGTCATGGTGAGGAACTTTTTAGACAATAGTTAAAATATGCCCCTTTAGCAAGAGTAATAATGTATTACAAAGACGTTATCATCAGATCTTATACTTTGCTTCTCTTACAAATAGCACAGCTGTGGATAACACCATTCCCACCACCTTTCTGGGTTCTCATTCTGAAAAGTCAGATATGTTTGTAAACTGTCTATCAGATTCAGAGGCCCCTTCAGTAGCCTCACCAAGACATTTTCCTACAATATGAAAGAAAAATGACTTAAAAAGTCATTAGCCATTATTTTATGGGTTTCAAACCTACCAATGGGCCTTCCTGACCACTCTCAATGCTTATATGTGTGGCCAAGGTATGCAACAATTCTTAAATTAGCCCATCATTCTCATACTCAGTGTTTACTTTTCTCCCATAAGGCTCACTTTGGTTTGCTTCAAATTGGATCTGAGGTCAAATCTTGAGCACAGCCAAGTAAATAAAATAAATGAAAATAATACATTAGTATGATATACTTGAAGCACAAATCCAGGAGTGGGAAATGATAATGCAAAGAGGGCTATTGATCTGACATAAATAGGATTTAAAAGATTTATTTTTTACCTTCTCCACATCTCCCAGGCCCTCAGTATCAAGCAGAACTAGAGTATGTACTGGCTTCTTGGGATGAGGCACACACCACATCCAGATGCCCTTCGTGTGAGATTGCACCGTGGAGCCCAGAGAAAAACCTGCAAGGGGGCATGGGGTTAAGAAAGGGTGGAGTTTTAATAGCAGATGGATCTTGAAATTGAGATAATAGTTAACAACATCAAGGTTTAAAGCGACCAATGAAAACGTAATCAGTATTGATCTTAACTGCAACCAGAAGAAGAGAGAAATTAGAACATTCAGTACAAACTGAAATATTTATTTTACCTTAAAGATCAGTATAAGCTTGATGTTAATCCACATACGTTTTAGTAAATGTTTTATTGTTTATTATTATCTGTATTAATTTTCTTTATTACTACCTTACCCCTTCCAGAAAGGCATATTTATACTTTAAAGAGAAAATTAAGGCAAAGTGGTAAGGAAGAGTTGACTCTTATCTTCTAGCACAGAGTAAATGTAAGATGCCCATCACTGTATTGAAAGTTAGCTTTCAATATTCCTCCCAGGTCTCTAACGTCCTCTTTTCGCATCACTGAACTTGATTCTGGGAGTGTAGGTGGACCGAAGGGAATCAGCTGGGCTTTGCTAGTGCCACTCACCCTTTTTCTTCCCAGCCAGCTTGTTCATCAGGTAGGATTTGCCTGTGCAGTAGAGGCCCACGATAGCCACCACCAGAACGGGCTGCTTAATGGCAGACAGGATCTTCACAATTTCTGGATTAACTGACAGTCGCTCATTAATGTTCTCAATAAGGCACTCTGGGCCTGGCATGTGCATCTCTGAGGCCATGTCCAGAGTGCCACCTGATCTGCAAGGGAAGAGATGGGATGGAAAGCAATGTCTAGTCAGTTAGCTGATTGAGAACTTTGCAGTTAGGACTAAAATTTGGTTTTCTCCTTGAACTTTGTTCCTTGTATGTTTTAAAAAGTCCTGTGGCCTATTTAAGCCTGTCCTATAGACTAGTCCACTGGTTCTTTTTAAAAGTAACTTGATTTTGAAGGAGCTTAGCCTTACACAAATTCGTATATACATTGGATACAGAGTTTCCATATTCCATTTCCCCAGCTTCCCCTAATATTAATATCTTATTTAACCATAGACAATGGTTGAAACAGGATTTTAACATTGATACAATACTATTAACTAATCCACACACCTTTTCCCCATGTCACCTGTTTTCCCCCTGATGTCCTTTTCTGATCCAGGATCCAATTCAGGACCCTTCATTGCATTCAGTCATTACCTTTCCTTAGTCTTCTCTCATCATTGACAGGTTCTCATTTTTATTTTGTCTTTCATGACCTTGGCATTTTAGAAGAATACTGGCCTGTCGTTTTGCAAAATATCCCTCCATTTGGGTTTTTCTCATGATTCCTCATGATCAGGTTGAGGTTATGGGCTTTTGGCAAGAATACTGTGGATGCAATGTTCTGCCAGTCTCAGTGTATCATATCAAGGGATGCATGATGTCCGTAGAACACACTCTGGTGCTGTGATGTTAACTTTGATCACTTGATTTATGTGGTGTCTGCCAGATTTCTCCACTGTAAAGTTACTATTACCTCCTTGTAATTAAAAAGTACCATTCGGGGAGATATTTTTGAGACTGTGCAAATATATTCTCCTTAAAGTTTAATATCATTTTTCTTTTTCTTTTTTTTTTTTTTTTGCGGTACACGGGCCTCTCACTGTTGTGGCCTCTCCCGTTGCGGAGCACAGGCTCCGGACGCACAGGCTCAGCGGCCATGGCTCACGGGCCCAGCCGCTCTGCGGCATGTGGGATCTTCCCAGACCGGGGCACGAACCCATGTCCCCTGCATCGGCTGGCGGACTCTCAACCACTGCGCCACCAGGGAAGCCCTAATATCATTTTTCAATGCTAATTTTAGCATCCACTAATAGTGATTCTTGCTTGTAACAATTATTACTGTAGTGCTTGTCTGTAGGTGATTTGTACTTGCACCATTCCTTCAACATTTACTAACTGAGGTTCTATTGTAAACAAGAGCTGTTCCTTCTCCTTTATTTATTTTTTTACTCATTCAATTATTTAGTTGTATCAGTATAGACTCACAGATATTTATTTTATTTTATTCTATGGGGTTTAATACTTTACTATCATTATGTACTTTTTGCTTAATTTGCCCCAGATTTGTTCATTGAGAACTCCTTTAGCCTGGCTCCTGGGTCTTTTGGGCATGCTTCCATCATATTCTGAGCACTTCCTTACTTTGTGGCACCACAGGGTATTCCTGATCTGTCTTCTATGTTGCCGGCTTCAGCTCTAGAATTGGCCATTTCTCCCAGCAGCCCTGATTCCATTCTTTGGGTAACAGAACTTAGATGCCAAGATATCACACTAGATATGTACATTACTTCTAGGTCCCCTCAGTGAGCCAAGTTAAGAAATGTGTGTATGAATACTAGTATAAGTGTACATAAATCTATATTTATCTATTTATTTCTGTATAAAATCTTAATTTCCTGCTCGTGTTTCTAATTCCAATTCAACACAACAGGAATTATTCAAGTTTTTCCCCTCTCTTTAAACTCCTTACTCTGACTATGAGAGCCCCGGCCCTAATTATCAATAATAAATTTGCTTAAAGTGCCCCGGCCCTAATTGTCCATAATAAATTTGCTTATGTGCTCAATCCTAGTATATGCATAAAGTATCAATAGTTTCAAAATTGCTAATCTATGCCTCTGTGATAAATAAATTTACTAACTAAAGTACATTATTAGGATCCAGTAGTTTTTGTCTTTAGCCTGATATATATATATATATATATATATATATATATATATATATATATATAGTCAAAACACTGTATTCCGAAATTCTTAGATTTGTTCTTTCCTTTCTCCTCCTCTTCAGCATAGTTATTCATTTGTAATGCAGTCACTTTCATTTGTTACTGTTTATGTTTCATTTAGGCCTCCCCCAAGTCTTGGTTAATTTTAAGTATGTGTTTATTTTTTGAGTATGTAAAACATTACATGGGTCTAAGAGTCAGAGTTTTCCGAAAAGGTGTACTCAGAGAAATGTCACTTCTTCTTCATCTGACCACTCCATTGCCATCCTACCTTTCTATTTTTACTACCCTATTCTCACCCATCCTCTGTGAATAAGTACCCAATCTCATTAGTTTCTGGTTGATACTTCCTAGTTATCCTTTTCATAAATGAGCAGATATATTTTCTTATTCACATTTTCTAGCAGGAAAGATCACATGGTATAGATATATGGAAATCGCTCTGTATCACTTCATAAAAAGCTTTCTCATTCTTTTTGACAGGTGCCTACTCCATTAAGTGCATATACCATAGTTTATTTAACCACTCTCCTACGTGTGGGCATTTAGATTGCTTCCAATTTTTTTCAGTTATAATGCTGCAATGAATAACCCTGCTAACTTTGTGTGTATTTATTTTCATATTGTTGCAACTGTTTCTTCTGAATAGATTCCTAGAAATGGGGTTGCTCAGTCAAAAGGTAAGAGTATATACTTTTGTTATATATTGCCAAATACTTTTCCAGAAGAAGGGTATACCAGACTGCACTTCTACCAGCTCATCTTGTATCACATTTCCAGAAAATGGAGGTTCTTTCCCTCTGTGCCTCACATCTTCTGACTTCATTACAAAACTTCCTTTCAAAGCTTTTCACCTTCACATTTCCATCCTTGGACTGAACACCCTGAGCTGTCTGAGCTCAGGCATATACAATAGGCAGGCTGCATCTGGAGCATGTTGTGTCAAACTTATTTATGTAATGTGGAACACAAGCCATCCTAACCCAGTCCTGGACCTGGTCTCTTCCAAGTCTGTTCCTGTGCACAGTCTGGGACTCAGGTTCCCCAGTGGCTTCTTCCTCTCCCAGGCAGGCACCCCTGCAGCTCCCACAGCCCGTCCTGTCTACTCACTCACTGGTTCTTAATCCTTGATCTGCATCTGCTTTCACAGGTTTTTCACCCAAGACTGATATCTCTAATCTGAATCTGACTCTTGATGACAAATTGAAATTGTAACGGAGTAATCATAGTTCAGACATAACAAAACTGAAGTCGGGCGGCCATTGAGGATCTAGTCTCAGGCAAATCCCTGTACCACGGAGAACCTGAATTTTCTCTGAACTGTATCAAACAAGGACACCAGCAGCTGTATTTGGGGTAACATCTGCCAGCTGCAAATTTATGTCTCAAGGCGTCCCCTTGGAACTATACAACCATTTCAGACCCCAACCATTGTTGCTTAACAAAGGTCCTTACTTTTTGCCAGCGCCAATTATAATTCTTGACAAAGAACTCATGTAAATAACTATGGTGTTACAGTTTTGAATTTTATAAACTTCTATTTTGTAGTCAGGAGGAACACAATTTAAATGCTTCTTGAATCTGTGTCTCCCAGGCTGAAGTCCTAAGAAACTTCAGATAAACACCACTTATTTTCAATCAAGTCACAGTTTCTGAAATTTTGATCAACACTCTGTTTATATATTTACTCAGTTATGTTATCAGATTTTAACTTCTTTGTGTTTAAAGATTGATTCCTTATTATCTGCACATATAGCAACTTGCATATTGCTTTTAATTATCTCAGGTAATGAAGCTACCACTATGAAGCATTATCTTATAAATCAAAGCTTGTTTTCTCTCTGAACTCTGCTCTATATATTTATTCACATGATTTTATTTATTTATTTATTTGAATTTTTGAATATATGAATTTTATTTTATTTTTTATACAGCAGGTTCTTATTAGTTATCCATTTTATACATATTAGTGTATACATGTCAATCCCAATCACTCAATTCATCACACCACCACCCCCACCCTGCCGCATTGCCCCCTTGGTGTCCATACATTTGTTCTCTACGTCTGTGTCTCAATTCCTGCCCTGCAAATCGGTTCATCTGTACCATTTTTCTAGGTTCCACATATATGTGTTAATATATGATATTTGTTTTTCTCTTTCTGATTTACTTCACTCTGTATGACAGTCTCTAGATCCATCCATGTCTCTACAAATGACCCAATTTTGGTCCTTTTTGTGGCTGAGTAATATTCCATTGTATATGTACCACATCTTCTTTATGCATTCATTTGTCAATGGACACTTAGGTTGCTTCCATGACCTGGCTATTGTAAAGAGTGCTGCAATGAACATTGGGATGCATGTGTCTTTTTGAATCATGGTTTTCTCTGGATATATGCTGAGTAGTGGGATTGTTGGGTCATATGGTAATTCTATATATAGTTTTTTAAGGACCCTCCAAACTGTTCTCCATAGTGGCTGTATCAATTTACATTCCCACCAACAGTGCAAGAGGGTTCCCTTTTCTCCACACCCTCTCCAGCATTTGTTGTTTGTAGATTTTCTGATGATGACCATTCTAACTGGTGTGAGGTGATACCTCATTGTGGTTTTGATTTGCATTTCTCTAATAATTAGTGATGTTGAGCAGCTTTTCATGTGCTTGGCCATCTGTATGTCTTCTTTGGAGAAATGTCTATTTAGGTCTTCTGCCCATTTTTGGATTGGATTTTTTGTTTTTTTAATATTGAGCTGCAAGAGCTGTTTATATATTTTGGAGATTAATCCCTTGTCTGTTGATTCACTTGCAAATATTTTCTCCCATTCTGAAGGGAGTCTTTTCATCTTGTTTGAAGTTTCCTTTGCAAAAACTTTTAAGTTTCATTGGGTCCCATTTGTTTATTTTTGTTTTTATTTCCATTACTCTAGGAGGTGGATCAAAAAAGATCTTGCTGTGATTTATGTCAAAGAGTGTTCTTCCTATGTTTTCC